GGGGGGGGTGGGGGGGGCTGGAAAGTGGGCTTCTTGGAGGGCTTCTTGGAGGAAGTGGGCTACGGTGGATTCTGAAGCTCTGGTAGGCTTTTCTCCAGGAGGGGACGTAGGTGGCACAGCTTTTGGTAGAGAGTAGTCCAGGAACAGTGGCAGGAGCAAATCACGAGTGGTCACACAGGGAGGCGCGCGTTGTCTCGACAAAGACAGAGTAGAGCGCGCTCTGGCGTCCGAGGTACCCACTGTCAGCCCAAACCCTGGCATCCCGTGCCATAAGCACACAGAAGACGCGGCATCTGCTGACCTTGTGCTGAGCCCGTCACAGTGAACTGGGGAATCTGGCCCTCAGCCGACCCGGGGGGTGGAGGACCAAAGCATGTAAACAACTCAACGCCCGTTTCTCTTTCCAGTACATTTGTTTATTAAAAAAAACAAAAACAAAAACAAAAAGTGTAGGAAATGAAGAAAACGGCACCTGAAAAGTATCTACAACAAAATAAATTATTTCCAGCGAAGGATTACAGATCCACACACACCGGTTCTCTAACCGTGACCAAGGTTACATCCCCCCGGACATATGCTTTTCCCCCTTGACTCTTCCTGGGCCTTTCTCCTCCTGGGCAGAATGACCCCAGCGCTACAGCCCAGGCCTGGACGAGCCGGGCTTCTTCACCAGCCCAGCAGACGGGTGTGGGGGTGGCCCCGGTGCAGGCAGTCCCAGCAGGGAGGGCACCGTGCCAGCACAGAAGGCATCAGCAAACGTGTCCGACTGGTTTCCAGTGACCCCGAAGTACTTTACGTAAGTGGGGGTCTGGGCTTTCAAGAAAAGGGCCAGGGGTATGTTGGGCCGGCACCTGCAGGGAGGCAAAGCTTCAGAAAACGGTTCAATTCACCTGCGGTCTCAGGAAGAAGGCAACTGGGTCTGGGGCTTTGAGCTCTCGGTTAAAAAATGGCCACACGGGGCCCAAGGGTGGCCAGCCACGCTTCGTGGCTACAAGATGCAGGGCATGGATGGAGGGGGCTTCCGCAGAGCCCAGGAGGTCGGGGAGGGCGGCAGGTGGAGGCTGGGGCTCCTACAGGGACTGGAAGCAACGATCCAATTTCAGTTGTGGGCAGGAAGCCCCAGCCCTCCGCTGGCCCCTCATGGGGGAGGTCGCCCACATCTCAGGCCGAGAGGCCGAGGGTAACTGGGCAGGGGGCCGCCTTTCAGAAGGGAAAGTTGCCGGGAGCACCACCAAGGTCATCACTAAAACAACCGACTCTTCCTTCTGGAAAGAGTCCAAGAGGCCTCAGAAGATACACCAGTCCGGAGACTGCACAAGTCCACACGGAGGCAAAGTAGCAAAGTCTAGGCCGGGTGTTTCCCAGGTGAATTCACCGAACACGATGAAGCCGGTTTACCTTTAAAGGAGGTCTGGCCACAGAAACACTGACCTCTGGATGGTGTTGTCAAGCCGGAACACCATCCCTCTCCTCCCAGAGGACAGCAGGGGCCGCAGAGGCAAACGCCCACAGGAGCTCGGCTGGTCATTAGTATGAACGAGGGACGCGGGGCTGTGTGTGGGAAAAACCTTTCCTGAAACACACACCAGCCTCGAGGCCTGTCTTCTCATTCGATGAGAGATCTAGGGCCCAAACTTTCCATTTCATTATAAACAGAGCAACCCTGCAGCGGGGTGGGGGGACGCGCACTGATCTTCAGCCACAGACTCAGCATCAGTGTGAGAAGAAATGTGGTGGAAGGGGTGGGGGGTGGGAGGGTGGGGGGGGAGGCTGGGTTGAACCGGGACACCAGGTGTCCCACCTAAAACTGGACCTGCTTTACCAGCTCCAGCCAGCGGCTGCTGGGTGACAGCGTGAGCCCCCCAGGCCAGCCGCACGTCCCGATCCGGATTTTTACGCAAACATTTTAGAATTTTAAATGTTAGTGGCTAATTCTTAAAAAAATAAAAAATAAAAAAGATTCTTAGGCCAAACCAAGCACACTGGCGGGCTGGGTCATTTCATAGTCTGTCCTGCACTGGCAGGGGGGTATGATGGGCAGAACGATGATTCCCCAGAGATGTGCCTAATTCCCAGGAACCTGTGGATATGGTACCTCACACGGCAAAAGGGGACTTTTCAGTGTGATTAAATTAAAGAGCTCGACACGGGGAGATGATCCCGGATTATCTGGGTGGGTGGGCTTTCTAAACGAAAGAAGGAAAGAGGGGCATCAGGGTCACCCTGCCAGTGACAGTGCGGGTGCCACGGTGTGCCCAGCCCCATCGGAGGCAAAGAGTGTGAGCAGCCTCTAGAAGCTTGAAAAGGCAAGGCAACCGACTCTCCCCTAGAGCCTCCAGAAGGGGCTAACACCCTGATGCTAGCTGGCCCCGTGAAACCCATCTATGCCCTTCTCATCTCCAGAACCGGAAGCTAAGAAATTTGCCTTGTTTTAAGCCACCGGGTTTGAGATAATTGGTTACGGTAGCGATAGGAGAGGAACCCAGTGGCCAGTCTCCCCTGCGTCATTAAACACTTTTAGGGGATGCAAGTCCTCTCTACATTTCTGTTTAAATACCGAAGTACGGCTGGAGCTGGGACAGCCACCCACGGCAACTCAAGGAAATTTCTCTTCTTTCTGGGACTGAAGGACAGTGAGGATGACCACGAGCAGAGCAAGAGAACCATGAAGCCTCTTGTCAAAGCAGGTAAGTGTCAATGCCCTCAAACAGGCACACCCTTTCCTGGCTGGACAGATCGCAAATCATTCCCATCTTCCAGGGAACAGGCACATGTTTATCTAGTGGTCGGGAGAAGTCAAAACCCAGCCATCCAACCAGTGAGCGCGAGCTGTCACTACGTCAGGTGAAAAGAGCTGCGTGGTCATACCTTCGACTTCTTAAATACACAGGACCCCCAAATAAATAATAATAATAAGGCACATCGTCCTTTTCATCCAGGGGGCTCCAGGGGGAGCAGGGACCTTGGATGGGCTCCTAGGGATCAGAATTGTCGCCCTGAAGAGTTCCAAATCCAGATCCAGAGCTCATTACAACCTCGTACGGGGTGACTCACAGCCCTCCCCTCTCCTTACGGCTGGTTTACAACCCAACCTGGCTTCAGAAGGATACGGACTGGGACGACTGTATCCAGGTAGGGCGTTCATCACTTTCAACGTCCCATTGTCGGAATAAGCCCGCTTGGAAATCAGGGGTTGGTGGCGTCCAGTAAAACCTCCTGCTGTTCCTTCCATAAAACTCCTCTTTAGGGTTTCTGCTGGAGGCCCCTAAAGGGTGTCTCAGTGCCCCGCTTTCAGCAAAAGTCTTTGGGATGGGTCCAAGTTACTCCCCAGGCTCCGTGGGCTCATGGGTGTCCAGCAAGGGAATGTCTGTGTTCCCGTTGTTGGGGTGGGAGAAGGTATATGGTTCACTCTCAGACTCAGCAGGGAAGCTGGGGGGTGGCTCGTCTACGGTCAGCTTTGCAGTCGGGGCCCTGGAGCCTGTGAGGGGTGGGGAGGGAGGGCAGTCCCCCGTGGGACCCTGGAACGGCCGGTAGGTATCCACCTCTGGCTGTAGGAAGGAGCCGTTGGAATCTTGCAACAGATGGCCATATACCATGGTGTCATCGATGACTGCATACACGTGGGAGTCACTGTCCTTTCGTCCCTTCTGAAACTTTTTTGGCTGCATCGGCATCTGGGTGTTGATGTTGCCGTTGTAGATGCCTACAGATGGGCCTTTGCTTGTCTTCTTTTTCCTACCGGCAGAAAGGGAACAGGACAGGAAGGAAATGACCTTAGCTGTGTTCCATTTGTAGAGCCCCTACTGGAACTCGGGCACTTTGGGGTTCCCACACGTCTCCCCCAAGTCTCTCAAATCCCTCGGTCCTTGAAGTGGAAACTCCTGTCCTTAGAATTTAGAGGGGACCAGCTTCTGGGGCGCCTGGGTGGCTCAGTCGGTTAAGCATCTGACTCTTGATATCGGCTCAGGTCATGATCTCACGGTCTGTGAGATCGAGCCCCGCGCTGGGCTCTGTGCTAACAGTGTGGGGCTCACTTGGGATTCTGTCTTCACCTCTCTCTGCCCCTCCCCTGCTCACATGCTCTCTCTCTCAAAATACATAAACACTAAAAAAACAAAAAAGGGGACCAGCTTTTGTCTCCAGTCTTCACAGTGGAAACAGGGTGGTGGAGACAGTGCCCGTTTTAACACTGTCTGCGCTTGGATGTGCTTCGGCGAATGCGCAGTAGCCCGGGGTGGAAACATCTGACAATCAGCTCCCCTCTGTCCTACGAGAAAGGGCCGTGCCCCACCCCGACCACATCAGGTGCGGTCATGCCCAGGCCAACCCTCTACGACTCAGTCCTTCCCGTAGCTTAAGGCTTCACCCCTCCTTTGCGTGGGTAGAACTCTGACCGTCTGCATTCTCAAGGACAGGACATAGGAGACTCAGGATGGAAGGCTGTATCCGAGTTTTTAGCTGGAGCGGGGGACAATGGAAGTCAGTATTAGCAGAGGGATCCAGCCCCTTCCTTATGCAGGAAGCTGCATAAGGGGAAAGAGCTCAAAAGAAAACACCATTTAGGCCGGGAGGCCAGAGTTCCTCGGTAACACCATTAACCTTTGGTTTGTAATGTTCTTTGGTCCTTGGGCGTGGACGGGCATTAGCACTCACCGCCACGGAAAACAAAGCTTCGCCCTCCATCGCCACGAGCCAAAAGCAGGGGACGCTGGCTTTTTAGCTGACCAGTGATTCAAATGGAGGACATTAGCCCAATTAACATAATGGACCGTATAACGCACAGGCTGGCGGCTCACTAACTGTGGACAGGCTCTCTGTCCTTTTCTGAGATAAAAAAATAATCTAGTACATTTAGCTTGTAGCACTGCGTGTCTGGCTGGACTGATGGGTTCCGAAGGCTCCAGCCTGAAGCCCTGAGACGGACGCCCCTCATTCGTGCTTCGCAGAGCCTCGATGCTCTCCGCGAACGCTCTTTTTAGGCAGTTCTGAAGCTGGTCCTTCATTTCGTCCCTCTGCCCCCACACCGGGCGGTGGGAGAGACTCTGTCCTGCTCACTGTTGCATCCCCAGCACCGTGCACGGTCCCCAATGTCCAGGAGGCCGTCATTCTCACTGCAGAACCTCCCTGCCCTCCTACAGCTGGTGGCCTCCCCCACCGCAAGGCCGGGGCCGGCGATCCTCAGGCCAGAAGCCGGACCCTCTCGTCGCCCGGTTCCCTCCTGATGGCAGGGGCCCAGTGTTAACACGGAGCTTTCTGGTCTGGGTGGAAGAGACTGCACCCCAGACAAGGAAGCTTCCCAGAGAAACCATAAATCGATGATTCACAAAAAGAAGTCCTTTCTCCCCGTGCGATATATATACAATCCCATCTCATGGAGAAGAGGTGTTTCCCCGGATCGGCCGTGGGCAGCCCCCTCCTCATCAGCAGAGACATTTCTGGACAGTCTCACTGTTGGTCAGGAATTTCGGTTGTGTGCTCATGGCCCCAGTTAATAAAAAAAAATTTCGTGTTGGCTTGTTGGAAGGTTGAGTCGTGCTAAGGAAAGCAATTTCCCCCCATTCCTCACGGCTTTCGTCAGAAATACAAGCAGAACTGATCAAATCTGGTAGCAGCGTATATTAGGTCTAAAAAGGTCAACGCTGCCCTTTCGTGAAACAGCAGCCGTCACCCTGAGGGGGAGGGAGGGGAGACTGAGTCAGATAACTGGGTCTTCCTTCCTCTCGCCCACAGGGCTAGCTTTTTGGTGCCTGTCTGGAGTCCAATAAACAGACATAAAATAGTTTAAGAAACCGGAGGAGAACACGCCGGTGGGGGGGGGTGTGCAGTGTACGTTTGCTCTCAAGGGGACAGAGGACACAGGCTCAGAGGCCCGGTCTGGCGGGGCCGACGTGATGGTTTTCCTGCTAAGGTCACCCCGGTGATGGCCACCGTGTGATGAGCAGACAGTACATGATTCACAGCTGACTTGTGCTGAGGCAGCTGTGTAAAAAACTGCAGGCCAAAGTGTCACCAGCCGTGTTTTCTGTTTTTCTCCGCTCCGTCCCCTCCAAACAATATTATCTAACACCGATCCTCAGGAGAGAAACCGGGAGTAAGGAAAGAAATCTGTAATTCACGACAGCTCTGGTCTGTGGGATCTAAGGAGGCGTCAGGGCAGCTGAAGACAGTTTTGAGAAATTCCACCTACTTCTTTCTCACGAAGCAAATGATGAGTCCGAGGGCAAACAGCAGCAAGGCGCCACCTCCCACGATCGCCGTGATGATGACAGTCAGGTCTGTGAGCAGAGACACGAGGGAGAGGGATGAGGAGACGCGGGGGCGCCGGGCCGACGATCAACCGGAGGAGACAGTCTCCAGAGATGGCCGCCATCCCTTCCTTCCCCCTGCCCCCCATACACACACGCTGCTCCTCACAGTGAGAGGACCCTATTTCCCCCCTTCTCGACTCTTCTTGACTCGCCGGTTCCGGGGCCTTCTACAGGCCTGGCTACATCTTGCACTTCCTGTCTGAGGGCAAGCCAGTCAGACGCCACAGAAGTCTGACGACGCTGAGGCCACCATGCTGTGAGGAAGCCCAAGCCAGCCATGTGGAGACTCCGTGAGGAACATACACCAGGGAACCTGGCCGAAGGTGACTACTAAGGCTCCAGACATCTGTCCCCAGGTGAACCATCCCAGCCACGAGCAGAGAAGAGCCACGCTGCCGTGTCCTGTCCAAATTCCTGACCCACAGGATTGCGGGCAAGCAAAATGGTGCATTGTCTCAGCTACTAAATCTCGGGGCTGTTTGTTACACGGTGATAGGTAACTAAAACAAACTGGGGGCCCTACCAGATCCACTCCAAAGGCTATGCTGGGCCTACCCCTGGGTGTATCTACCGGGTCGCCACAGCTTATGTGAGAGAGGAGAGCAGAGGGGTGGAGGGAAAGCAGGGAGTCAAAAGTCAGCAGTGAAGGTGTTCAGGACAGAGTTGTTTCATCTACGCTATTCTTTTCCTACAGCTGTATAAGAAGAAAGGAAATAAATCAGACAGGGAGACCCACGCTGAGCAGGGATTTAGCATTTCTTGCTTGTTTACCAAGAAAACGAAAGGTGAGGTTAAGAGAGAAACAGGAATAAATGGGGCGTCTGGCAGGCTCGGTCAGAGGAGCGTGCAGCTCTGGATCTTGGGGTCGTGAGTTTGAGCCCCCCATTGGGTGTAGAGATGGCTTAAATAAATAAACTTAAAAAAAAAAAAAAAGAAAGAAATAGAAGTTAATGACAGAAAATGAATGTGAGAGAGTCAGCAAACCCGGGAGCTGAGCTGAGAGTATGACAGAGCTTCTCACTTGTGGTTTTTGGTTCCCCCCAGTTCTCCTGCTGCTGATCAGCCGTGTGGCTTGGGCAGACACGCAGTCTCTCTGACCTCCAGAGAGGGAAGGAAGGGGCCGGGAGAAACCACCTCCACGGTCCCTTCTGGTTCCAACACTCTGTGGTGCTCGGTGACTGTCTTGGAATAAAGGCAAACGTGGCCCCATCACAGTGGCCGTGCCACACATGCGTTTCCTCGCTGGGAACCCTTCAGCGGATTCTGCAACTCTGAGCACGAGACCTGCCCCCAGGGGCATTTTCCAGGGCTTCCCCGGACTTGGAAAAAAATGCCAACACCAAACATCTGTGTCGCACTTTCCAGGTCCCTGCATGTGAATCCCCAGCGTGAAATTCCCACTGATATTTCTCTGAGGTAGTTATTACCATCCACCCTCTACAGACCAGGAAGGTCAGGGGAGTGAAGACACTTCCCCAGTTGTCAGAGAGAGATTAATGGTAAATGACCATGACAGACGGACAATAAAAACATACTAGTTCTCCCCACTCCCTGAACGATGTCTTTTACTATGTGACCCTTGCGGCTCCTCCCACCGGAAGTGGAGTCGTTTAGTCCACCCCTTGACTTTGGGCAGGGCAAAAGAATTCCAGGAGGGATGGTGTATGAGTTCCTAACCCAAGCATCAAAAGACCTTGCAGGCTTCCCCCAGACTCTCTTGGATCTCTCTGCTTCTGCCGTGGGAACAAGGCCCAGGCTGGAATGAAAGGGACAGTGGGGAGGAGAGCCAAGGAACCCAAGTGTCCCAGCTAATTGCGGCTGGGCCCCAGACTTGTGAGAGTGTGCGGCCAAGCTCGGCAAAGTCCTCTAGCTCCGTGCAGCTGCCCACGGGTGCATGAGTGAGTGAACCCGGATAAGCCCAGCTCAGACCAGAACCGCCCAGCCAATGCGTGAGCAATAACAAATGGCTGTTTTTAAGCCGCTGAGTGCCGGGGCCGTTTGTTACGCAGCACTGCTGATGCAAAAGCTGACAGAGACATGGACAGCCAGCACTCAAATCCATGTCTTCTGACTCCCTCCCAGGCTTGCCCCCCAGGCTTCGGCTGCCCATCTGCCGTCCACCGCCACCCGCACAAGACCTTGCAGGCCCTTACCCATAGTCCTTGGGGTAAGCAACACCCAGAAGAACAGGTCCAGCTGCTTGCCACTCACAGGGCTGCAGTTGGAGATGTTGACCCAGAAGCTGTGGTGGTGGAAGCTTGGCTTGGGGAGGACCTCGTCCTCCAGGCTGAAGATCTCCTCGGCCTTGGTCCGCTGCTCCTGGATGATCATGAATGCACGCCCCGTCTGGCAGACCACGCCGGTCCGCTCCTTGAGGAAGGTCAGGCAGGCCACCTGGCCGCTGGGCACACTGATGTTCCAGGACACTGAGGTGAGCGACGGCAAGCCCCGGTCCCAGTTAGGGCTCCTCAGGTAGACCTTGCTTTTTGTGTCTGGGGTCACCGTGAAAACGCCTTCCTCTGCAGGAAAGGGGAGAGAATCCACACAGATGTGTCACTGAACCCAAACAGAGGGGAAAACGACGGAGGAGAGGACGTTCAAGTGCCTGGACTAGCGTCGTCCAACAGAGCTCTCTGTGGTGACGTTAAAGTTTCTCACAGGCTCACCTCATTTTTTTTTTTTTTTTAATTTTTTTTTTTTTTTCAACGTTTATTTATTTTTGGGACAGAGAGAGACAGAGCATGAACGGGGGAGGGGCAGAGAGAGAGGGAGACACAGAATCGGAAGCAGGCTCCAGGCTCCGAGCCATCAGCCCAGAGCCCGACGCGGGGCTCGAACTCACGGAGCGCGAGATCGTGACCTGGCTGAAGTCGGACGCTTAACCGACTGCGCCACCCAGGCGCCCCAGGCTCACCTCATTTTGCTACACTTTGCGGATCCTGCGTTTTTTTACAGATTGAAAAACGTGGCAACCCTGCGTCCAGCAAATCTGTGGCGCCATTTTTCCAACAGCATGTGCTCACTCTGTGTCTCTGTGTCACATTTGGGTGATTCCCGCGACGTTTCAAACTTTTTCATTATTGTGTTTGTTACGGCGATCTTGTGATCAGCGATTACAACTTGCGGGAAGCTCAGACGATGGTTAGCATTTTTTTAAATGTTTTTTTAATGTTTATTTACGTTTGAAAGAGATAGAGACAGAGTGCGAGCTGGGGAGGGGCAGAGGGAGAGGGAGACACAGAATCCCAAGCAGGCTCCAGGCTCTGAGCTGTCAGCACAGGGCCCGACACGGGGCTCGAACTCACGAACTGTGAGATCATGACCTGAGCCGAAGTCAGGTGCTTAACCGAGTAAGCCACCCAGGCGCCCCAATGGTTAGCATTTTTTAAGCAATAACTTTTTTTTTTTTTTTTTTGCTTACAAAAATCTTATTTTTATTTATCTTAGACCACAGTATGGTGTAAATATAACTTTTACATGCTCTGGGAAACCAAACTCACTTCACTTGCTTTATCGCAGTCGACTGGAACCGAACCTACAATATTTCCTGGGTGCCTCTATCTATACCATCTGGGGGCAACAGCCATGTGCGTTGTGGAAGGCCGGAAAAGTGCTTGATGTGACAGGACCTACATTTTTAATTTTGTTATTATTTTAAATATAAATTGCCACACGTGGCCAGTGAGTATTGGTCGGCACAAGGTTAGAGTCTCAGGTCAGGTGCTCAGATCTTGAACAAAACCAACCAACCAACCAAACAAACAAACAACAAAAAAAGAGGCTCCTTTGCCAAACCGCTGGTTGTCTCTGGAAGCTTCCTTTCAGAAACGCCCTCCAGCTAACTAACGTCCACCCGATGTGCTGCTCTCAGCGGGACTGGTAAACAGCGATTTCTGTTTCAGAGATGAAAACACTTCAGGTTCTGGGGCGCCTGGGTGGTTAAGCGTCCAACTTTGGCTCAGGTCGCGATATCATGGTTCGAGTCCCGCGTCGGGCTCTGTGCTGACAGCTCAGAGCCCGGAGCCTGCTTGGGATTCTGTGTCTCCCTCGCTCTCTCCCCCTCCCTCGCCTGTGCACTCTCTGTCTCTCTCAAAAATAAATAAATAAACATTAAAAGAAAAACCCACTTGGGGTTCTGGGAAGAATGGGAGAATTGCAAAGCTGAAGAGCCTCCGGCACATAACTGGATTCATTCTTGGCCTTCAAGTGAGATAAAACCCCAGCATTCACACTGCACGGAGTATGTCTTGTTTTCAAAGAGCCCCCAGAAGGGGTTTCTCGGTAGCCTTGGAGAGATCTGGCAGCCTGGGCTGACCTTAATCTTTTTTTCTTTTTTAATTTTTAAAAAGGTTTATTGGGGCGCCTGGGTGGCGCAGTCGGTTAAGCGTCCGACTTCAGCCAGGTCACGATCTCACGGTCCGTGAGTTCGAGCCCCACGTCGGGCTCTGAGCTGTCAGCACAGAGCCCAATGCGGGGCTCGAACTTGCAGACCAGGACCTGAGCCAAAGTCGGATGCTTAGCCAACTCTGGATAAGCCACTTAAGCCACTCAGGTGCCCAAAGGCTGACCTTAATCTTATGGTCAAAGATTCTTCTCCCTCCCCACTCAGGCCTCTGGGAACAAAGTATGAAGTGAACTTCAGATAAAAGTCTTGGTTGGGGCGCCCGAGTGGTTCAGTTGGTTAAGTGTCCATCTGCCTCTTGATCTTGGCTCAGGTCGTGATCTCAAGGTTCAGGAGATTGAGCCTTCCAAGTGCAGAGCCTGCTTGGGATTCTCTCCCTTTCTCTCTGCCCCTCTCCTGCCTGCACGCTCTCCCTCTCTTTCTCAAAATAAATAAACTTTCAGACTTGAACCTGATGATTTGTTCTTCTGCCCGCCACCCGTCACCTCCCACTGTCAGAGACTTATTTCTACCTCCCGGAATTTTCCACACGAGGCTAAGGGTAGAGTCAGGAGGAGGGCTCCCCAGTCTGTCACATTTCTTGCGCCAGGACCTGGCCACTCAGCTGCCCCTTCCCTTCGAGTTGACAACTTAACGAAGGCGATCGCCCACCCAACAGAAGAGGGATGCCCAGACAAGCAAGGGGCAGGGAGATGGGGACACAGAGGGAGACGTCCTCACCTTTGAAGTAGGGGATAAAGGACACGGTCAGGCCCTGCCTGGAGGCCTCTTGTTGGAAGCTGGGGGTGAAGGTGCGGAGGGTCACGGAGACGTTCTGCTTCACCTGGATGTGCTGGATGGAGCCTCCGGGGCAGAAGGAGCCAAAGTAGAGGTCCTGGCCGGGGACCGTGCTGGCCACCAGGTAGCTGTAGCTGGTGTTGCAGACCTTCTCGGGCGTGTGTTGCTGCAGCTTCTGGGCCGGCACCAATGCCAGGCTGAGCCTGTCCTTGGGTACCAGCAGTTTCCAGGAGAAGTCGTGCAGTTGCACAGGCAGCTGGAGGATGTCCCTGGGCACCTGGAGGGAGTAGGGCCTCCTGGGGCAGTACCGGTGGTCCATGCAGCCTGGAAGAGAAGAGCTCGTGGCACCAGGCAGGGAGGAGACCAGCAGGTGCATCCTGCCCTGCCCTCAAGGCCGCCCAGACTCTCTTGCTTTTCCCTTTGGTCTCTCCTCTCGTGCTCTGTCCTCCACTCCTGGCTCCCTGATGCTCCTGTTCCAGCTGCCCCTGTCGCCCCCTCACATTCTTTTTAACATTTTTTTTGATGTTTATTTTTGAGAGAGAGAGCAGGGGAGGGGCAGAGAGAGAGGGAGACACAGAATCCGAAGCAGGCTCCAGGTTCCGAGCTGTCGCCACAGAGCCCGACGCGGGGCTCGAACTCATGGACCGTGAGATCGTGACCTGAGCTGAAGTCGGATGCTCAACCGACTGAGCCACCCAGGCGCCCCTGCAGGGGACATTTCTGATCAGACTGTCTATAGCCTACCCAGTGGACCCCGTGGAGAAGATGGGGAGGGGCAGGGAGAGCCACCCACGGCCCCAGAGGAGCGCCAACCAAAGGGACGTACTTATGGTCTTCTCAGCGTTCGCCCACAGGCGAGTCAGATCATCACAAAGGAAGGAGATCTTGTGTTTGGAGCCGGAGGTCAGGGTGAGGTTGGTGCTACAGGTCCGAGACTCCAGACATACGAAGCAGCCGGGGACAAACTTGCGGCTGAACTTGACGGGCCGTGGCTCGATGGTGAGCGACATGGCTTGCTCGTTGCTCAAGTCGACCACGTAGATTTTATCTGAAACCGCAAAGAGAAAACAGGTCTGAGGCACGGGTCAGCGGCCACCCGGCGGACAGGGCAAAAATTAGCACCAAACCTCTCCTGGCTGGGAAGCATTGGAAACACGTTTTATTAAGAGAATACACAAAGGGGCGCCTGGGTGGCTCAGGCGGTCAAGCGTCTGGCTTCGGCTCGGGTCATGATCTCGTGGTTCAGGAGTCTGAGCCCCGCGTTGGGCTCCATGCTGCTGGTGTGGAGCCTGCTTGGGATTCTCTCTCCCTCTCTCTCTGCCCCCCCCCCCCACCCATTTTGTGCTCTCTCTCTCTCCAAATAAATAAAATAAACTTTAAAAAAAAAAGAGAGAGAGAACATACAAGAACTCTAGGAGAAACTGAAAACGAAAAATAATGGACTGAGTTTCTACCACTGCTTAACTGCTGTTACTCCTTCAAGTTCATCTTGGTCCTGGGTCACACGCACGCATATGAACGTTTTCACCTACGGAAAAGTACAGTATACATAAAATTGTATACTCGGCTTTTCCTTTATTACTTTACACGGCTTTGATTATGTTTCCAGGTAGTTTTCATATTCACGAATCTTTGAAAATATTCGGTCATTTAGTGGCTGCTTGATAATGAACAAGTGATATTCGCCATCATTTATTTAAATATTTTCCTGCGTAAATATTCTCTTTTTTTTTTAAGTTTATTTATTTTGAGAGAGAGAGAGAGGAGGGAGAAGGGCAGAGAGAGAGAGGGAGAGAGAGAATCCCAGGCAAGCCCCGCACTGTCAGTGCAAAGCCCGCTGGGGGCTTGAACCCACGAACTGTGAGATCATGACCTGAGCGGAAATGCTTAACTGACTGAGCCACACAGGCGCCCCTCCTGTATAAATATTCTCATGTGTAGTAACTAGCAGCAGTGTGCCATTAGTTCAGGGATAGAAGATTAATAGATATAATATTTCTTCATAGATATTATCATTATTCATAGATTTTATACCCATTGATATTATAATGTGGTCTCTAATAAATGCTATTATTTCCAACAAGTGAGAAAAAGATGAACCACTCCTAGCTGGGCCAGGAGAACAGTGTCTCCCATTAGTAAAAGAATCAAATTAGACTGGTACTTCAAAGCAAAGACAATATCCTTATAGATGTGGAGCAAACACAAATTATAAAAGAGAAAAGAGGGGCGCCTGGGTGGCGCAGTCGGTTAAGCGTCCGACTTCACCCAGGTCACGATCTCGCGGTCCGTGAGTTCGAGCCCCGCGTCGGGCTCTGGGCTGATGGCTCAGAGCCTGGAGCCTGTTTCCGATTCTGTGTCTCCCTCTCTCTCTGCCCCTCCCCCGTTCATGCTGTGTCTCTCTCTGTCTCAAAAATAAATAAACGTTGAAAAAAAAAATTAAAAAAAAAAAATAAAAGAAAAAAATGTTTAGGGGCGCCTGGGTGGCTCAGTCGGTTAAGCGCCCAACTTCCGTGATCTCACGGCTCGTGAGTCAGAGACCCGCATCGGGTGCCGAGCCGCCTGCTTGGGAGTCTCTCTCTCTGCGCCCTGCCCCCCTTTCTCTCTCTCGGCATAAATAATAAATAAATTTAAAACAAAAAAAGGCAGCACATCAATCTTTCATTCAAGCTCCCTGTGTTCAGCTTAGCACCTCCCTATTCATGCAAATAGGATCTCTGGTTCAAAACCTTCCCTTTACCAGGGAAGAAATTCCTATCTTCTGTTGGTCTGGGGCTGGAGTGGCTACTCCAGCTTTTAGCCCTAGTTCTGGAGGTAACTTGCTGCCAACTCCTGGGCCTTTGAAAGTTTCTTCTGGAAGTTTCCCCACTGTGGGATTAGATTCTGCACTTTGGGGTCTGCTGAATCAGTTACCCGTCTATGTCCCACTTTGGGAAATGTGAACATATTGTTTCCTTTCCATTTGTCACTTCCCTTGGGATTTATGCTTTTAGAAATGTTGTAAATGCCATGACAGGGTGGCTGAAGAAGGAAGCGAATCTCTCTTTAATGGGAAGTCCTCATTTTCCAATTGCTTGCCTGTTCTTCCTGTCAGAGAGTGAACTTCATGGATCTCCATGACCCGCATATCTGGTACATGGCAGAGAGTCCCTGACGTGTTAGGTTAAGCCTCATGATATCCTTGAGAGGGAGTGTGTCGGTCAGCTCGGGCTACGTTATGCTGCGGTAACAAGTGGTCCCGAAATCCAAAGGGTTAGAATACCAAAGATTTATTCTGCATTCAATGTATACATCCGTCGTGAGTTGATTGCAGTTCTGATGCCTGTCTTTTATTATTTTTTAAGTTTACTTATTTATTTATTTATTTAGAGAGCCCGTGTGGGGGAGGGGTAGAGAGAGAGGGTGAGAGAGAATCCCAAGCAGGCTCTGCACTGCCAGCTCGGAGCTCTATGCGGAGATCCACCTCATGAACCGTGAAATCATGACTCGAGCTGAAACCAAGTGTCAGAGGCTTAACCAACTGAGCCACCCAGGCACCCCTCTGGGGCATGTCTTTTTAATTCTGAGATCCAGCCTGAAGGAGAGGCCTCTGCGACACCCCGGTCTTATGACGGTGTTTGAAAGGTGAACCACAGGACATGTGCTGAAGCTTCTGCTTGGAAGTGGTACCCGCATTTCCCCTCACATCTCATTGGTTGAAGCAAACTCACGTGGCCAAGCCTGTAGCCAATGGTGGGGGACGCCTGGGTGGCTCAGTCAGTTGAGCATCAGGACTCTTGGTTTCTGCTCAGGTCATGGTCTGCCGTAGATTGTTGTCGGGAGGATCCACCTGGCTGACAGCTCAGAGCCTGGAGCTTGTTTCGGATTCTGTGTCTCCCTCTCTCTCTCTCTGCTCCTCCCCTTGATCACATTCTGTCTCTCTCTCTCTCTCTCTCAAAAATAAACATTAAAAAAAAATTAAAAAAAAAGGACCTTCCCTTTGGGAAGTTCAAAGTTGAGATGTGTTTAAGGTAATACTGCTTTTATTACCTCCATTTTATTTTTTATTTGAAAAATGTTTTTTTTTTTTTTTTTAATTTTTTTTTCACCGTTATTTATTTTTGGGACAGAGAGAGTGGAAAGAGAGGACGAGGAGAGGGGAGAGAGAGGAGACACAGGAATGGAAGGCTCCAAGGCTCTGAGCCATCAGCCTAGAGCCTGACCGGAACTCGAACTCACGGACATGCAGATCGTGACCTGGCTGGAGCGATCGCCTACCGACCAGCCACCAGAGCTTCGCCCAATTTGAAAAATGTTTTAATGTGCATTTATTCTTGGCAGAAAGAGAGAGAGAGTGACAGAGTGTGAATGGGGGAGAAGCAGAGAGAGAGGGAGACACAGAATCTGAAGCAGGCTCCAGGCTCTGAGCTGTCAGTACAGAGTCCGACTCAGGGCTTGAACCTGTGAACTGGGAGATCATGACCTGAGCTAAAGTCGGCCACTCAGTGGGACTGAGCCACCCAGGTGCCCCTATTATCTCCATTTTATAAACTACAACTTTGAAGCTTAGAAAGGTTAAGTAATTTTCAGAGAGGCCTGGGTGACTCTGTCGGTTAAGAGTCCTTTTGGTTTCGGCTCAGGTCATGATCTCACAGTTCGTGGGTTCGAGGCCCGTGTCGGGCTCTGTGCTGACAGCACGGAGCCTGCTTGCGATTTTCTGTCTCCCTTTTGCCCCTCCCCCAGTCACCGTCTATATGTCTCTCTCGATCTAAAAATAAATAAACTTAAAAAAAAAAGGATTAAGGGGAGCCTGGGTGGCTCAGTGGGTTGAGCGACCGACTTCAGCTCAGGTCATGATCTCGGGGTTCACAGGTTCGAGCCCTGCATCGGGCTCTGTGCTGACAATTTGGAGCCCGGAGCCTGCTTCGGATTCTGTGTCTCCCTCGCTCTCTGCCCCTCCCCTGCTCGCGCTCTGTCTCTCTGTCTCTCGCTCTCAAAAATAAACATTAAAAGATCTTTTTTCAATGACTCGAAGGGCAGACACAGTAAATTCACGTGCTGCCTCAGGCATGTGCTCCCAGGGGGCCTCAGCTATCAGAGCAGGATGGACGTGCACACCCCTCACCTCTCACAGATGGGAGAAATGGAAATGTCACTATTTACATTCGTAATTCTTGCCTCACCCCACCCTCACCAGGAGGAGGAGGGGTAGGTGTGACCTTGGCCAACTTACAGCTGAAAGAGACCTCCGATTTGCTCAAGGCTACATCCTGATGGAAGGTTTCCTACCGCGAGAGAATCAGCAGGTGCTTCCTCTTGGTAAAAAACACCGGAGCTGGAGATTTGGAAAGACACTTCCCCCTTCAGAAAAAAGACAACCTTTCACTCCCTGCTACTTACGGACACTGTGGAAACCCCTGAAGGGATGAGCTTATTGACTGAAGTTTCATAAAGGCCCCTCATCATTTTTGTGGAATCTGTAGAGATTTTTTTTTTTTAATTTTTTTTTTTAAACGTTTATTTATTTTTGGGACAGAGAGAGACAGAGCATGAACGGGGGAGGGGCAGAGAGAGAGGGAGACACAGAACCGGAAACACGCTCCAGGCTCCGAGCCATCAGCCCAGAACCTGACGCAGGGCTCGAACTCACGGACCGTGAGATCGTGACCTGGCTGAAGTCGGACGCTTAACCAACTGCGCCACCCAGGCGCCCCGCGATTTTTTTTTTTTAAGTTTATGCACGTATGTTGAGAGAGTGGGGGAGGGGCAGAGAGAGAGGGAGAGAGAGTCCCAAGCAGGCTCCGTACTGTCAGCACAGAGCCCGACTCGGGGCTTGAACCATGAGATCATGACCTGAGCCGAAGTTGGACGCTTAACCGACTGAGCCACCCAGGCACCCCTCTTTTTTTTAATTTTTAAATGTTTATTTTTGAGAGAAGAGAGAGAGAGAGAGAGAGAGAGGGTGCTTGAGCAAGAGAAGGGCAGAGAGACAGACGGAGACAGAGGATCCGAAGCAGGCTTTGTGTTGACAGCAGCGAGCTTGAAGCGGGGTTCAAACTCACACCATGACCTGAGCCCAAGTTGGACGCTCAGCTCCCTGAGCCACCCAGGCGCCCCTGAGCATCCAGCTCCTGATCTCAGCTTAGGTCTTGAGCTCAGGGTTGTGGGATCAAGCCCCGCGTTGGACTCCATGCTGGGCATGAAGCCTACTTAAAAAACAAAAACAAAAACAAAAACAAAAACAAAAGGGCTTGGAATGTGCCAGAAACTGTGGTGGGTGTAGGAAGACGGAGGAATGAGACAAGATTCCTGATTGGGAGGAGGTTAGCGGGACACAGCTGTGCGGACGGATAAATACAACATTGTGCTGAATGCAAACCCCCCCACATGTGTGTGCTTGGGGAGCGGGCTCTGCTCTGGGCAGTTGTTTCTTCTACGGGGGCAAAGGGCGGTCAAGTGAAGGGCAGAGGCTCCTACCGAGGGACTCCGTGTCTTGAAGCAACCCCACAGCTTCTTCCTTCTCATTTCCAAGGCCAAGAAAGAGCAGAAACAAACAGCACACAGACTAGACTCCCTTCCAGTGGCAACGAGAGGCAGCAACCGTCCGGGGGCCTCCTGCGTAGACGGGAAACGCCAGGCTCTGCCTTGAGTCTCCCCCCGGAAATCCTGCCAGCCTGCTCTGCACTCCCCGCCTTGAGCCCCGTGGCACACACACCCCCGAAAACTCCTGGGACGTGACCTCCTGCATCCTGCAAGTCCTGTCTCTTCTGGGTTACAGGCTGTCTCTGAGGTCAAGCGCTGGGTCTTTGATCTAGAACACGTAAGGGCGCTGACCACCTGCCAGGCACTGTGCTACCTCCTTTCATCCTTAGAACATCCCCACGAGGGCGGGCCCACCCTCTCTATTTGAAGTTGAGGAACTGAGTCACACAAAGGTGAGGTGCTCTGTCCACAGTCCCACGGCATGTAGGGAAACTGGGATTCAAACCCACGCAGGCAGATCCCACTTTACGTGAAGCCGGGACACCGCTAAACAGCTTTAAACCGCAGCTAGCGACTCTTTACTTACCTCGAAACTAAAGCCAAACCCTTCTTGATGCGGGTGAAGAAAGCCTGTTTAACAGTCTGATTCGTTGTAGAGATCAACTCAGCTGACGTTCCAGGAAATACAAGAAATCGACAGCACTTACCATAGCTGAGATGGTAAATCTCTCTGTCTCCTAAACTCAAACCCACACCGTTCTTGGGTGGTGGTTTTTAACATTCTGATGATAAAATTGTGACAGTGGGATCATGGAAATACATCGGTGGACACACACACACACACACACACACACACACACACACAGCTACACCTTCTACACGGTTATTATAAATCAGAAGTCATCTTCGGTCAGGACACGGTGGGGCTGGGGCACCTGGGTGGCTCAGCCAGTTAAGCGTCCAACTCTTGGTTTCGGCACAGGTTATGACCTCACGGTTCATGAGTTCGAGCCCCTGTATCGGCTCTGTGATGACAGCACGGAGCCTGCTTGGGATTCTCTCTCTCCCTCTCTCTCTCTCTGTCCCTTCCCTGCTTGCTCTCTCTCTCTCTCTCTCTCTCTCTCTCTCTCAAGATAAATACAAAAACTTAAAAACAAAAATGGATGTGGTGGTGTTGCATCTTCCAGAGATGCCCAGAGGCAGCCCCTCGGGCGGGTCCCACACTGTCACTTTCCAGACATTTATCAGCTCTACTAAAATAAACACCATGGTCCCATTTAATTCCACTCTGAACTCATGTTGTACCTTTTTTTTTTTTTTAAGTTTATTTATTTATTTTGAGAGAGAAAAAGCACAAGTTGGGGAGGGGCAGAGAGATAAGGGAGAGCGAGAATCCCAGGCAGGCTCTACACGGTCAGCTCAGAGCCTGATGTGGGCTTGAACCCGTGAACTGTGAGATCATGCCCTGAGCTGAGGTGAGAGGTTTAATCGACTGAGCCACCCAGGCTCCTTTTGTTTCAACAGCTGCGCCACTCCCCGCGGAGCAAAGTTGAAGGAGGCGCTTGCTCTCAGGGGCTGACCTTGTGCTTACGTGACCCTGAGGGTGAGCACCTCCAGAAGGGCAAGTAAGTGCCGCAGAGCAGGTGCTTCCTTCAATGTCGCCACCTGGGCACGTGGCCTCCCCCTACTTCCGGCCCTGACTCCCCTTTTCTAGGTTCGTGGCATCTCAGTAACTGTGTGTAGAGTGATGTAAACCCCCCACTCGGGGTTCAGAATGATCCAGAGCACTGGCTCTGGGTTCTGGGCTTGCTCTGCTCCAGACAAGCTACGTGACGTTGGGCTAGTTCTATAAGCAATCTGGGCCTCTTGGTTTTCCGGCAGTAATTGAGGGTAATACCCGCCTCCCCTCTGGGGTTGTAATAAGGATTAGCTGAGGCAGTGTAAGTGGTTGCTTAGGTCAGGGCTTGGCATGGAGTGTGTGCCCACAGTACGGATGGGGCACTCAGCCAATAAAACTGGGTTCGTTATTGCTGACGGTGGCCGTGCAATGTGAATCCTGATTCACATCGAGGGTCAAGACATGTGATACAGAAAGTAACCTACCAAAACTTTCATTAAAAACAACTTAGCCTAGGGGCGCCTGGGTGGCTCAACGGGTGAAGTGTCCAACTTCGACTCAAGTCGTGATCTCACGGTTTGTGGGTTCGAGCCCCGCGTCGGGCTCTGTGCTGACAGCTCAGAGCCTGGAGCCTGCTTCGGATTCTGTGTCTCCCCCTCTCTCTGCCCCTCCCCCACTCGTGCTCTCTCTCTCTCTCTCTCTCTCTCTCTCTCTCTCTCTCTCTCAAAAATAAATAAACATTAAAAAAAGTGAAAACAACAACAACAGCTTAGCCTGGGGCCACCTGGGTGGCTCAGTCGGTTAAGTGTCCGACTCGGTTTCAGCTCTGGTCGAGATCTCACAGTTCTTGAGTTCAAGCCCCACATCGGACTCTGCGCTGACAGTGGAGAACCTGGTTGGGCCTCTCTCTCTCCCCATCTCTCTCTGGCCCTCCCACCTTCTCTCTCTCTTTCTCAAAATAAATACACTTAAAAAAACAAATAACTTGGCCTGAATGCAAGTTTGCATTTGCTTCTCGCAGTGGGTGTTCACCAGCGAGCCCGTCTTACTGCCTGGCAACGCACGTCCTGAAACTCTTACAGGGTCCAGAGTTCAGGTGTTCCAGAAGCCACAGGTGAGAAACAGAAAGGGAACCTCACGCCAAGCGGACTATCCAGGAGGGAAAGAAAGAGCTGGAGGAGGAGGGAAAGGAAAGCGGGGCTCACTTACTGCTTTCATTCTGTGGATGTTGGACCAAAACTTGAAACTGCAGCCGGAGGATCCCTGGGTTTTGGGCGTCTTGGTCACAGCCCTGGAGAGACAGGTTGAAGTTCCCAGCCATGTTCCCGGGCTGCTTGTCCCCCAGCTTGAACACCTCGGGGTTGGTGGTGGAGCCCGGGATATAGTATTCAACCCGTTCCTCTTTCTTCTCGCAGTTGGAGACGTTGAAGTGAAGGAAGGAGACGCTGGCCCGCAGGTGCCGGGGAACGACGAACTGCCAGGTCATGAGCTCGTCCTCAGGGAAGCCATCCGGGTAGTTGGCAGACATCAGGGTGGCGGAACCTTCACCTTCGAACACGGATTCGATGATGCACAGCCCTATAGGGAGCGGGGCCCAAACGAGAAAAAACGGGAGGCGATGAGACCCCTGTCCTGGCTGTTGGTGGACAGTGGGCAACGGGGTCAGGAAGAGGGGAGGGCGGCTCTCAGCTCCCGAGCTCTGGGTCTGGTCTCATCCTCACTAAGGATACATCAGTGGCGGGTGAGGAGGTGTTTACCAACCCGGCAGGGGGAGAAAAGCACCCTAACGTGGGGCGCCTGTCCATTTCCTCGCACCGTGGCTGATTTCAAGCACGAATGTGGAGTCGGGAGCAGACGTGCAGTAGCTTGTCGCCGTATGGTGTCGCCACCGTAGAGGCACAGTCAGCGTAAATAACCTCAGGAGCACAGAGAACCGTCAAATGTGGTGAAATCATTAGGAAGTGATGAGTTCTGAGCGCGTATTACCATTGTTTCTTTTTTTTTTTTTTTTAATTTTTTTTTTTAATGTTTTTATTTATTTTTGAGACAGAGAGAGGCAGAGCATGAGCAGGGGAGGGGCAGAGAGAGAGGGAGACACAGAATCAGAAGCAGGCTCCAGGCTCGGAGCTGTCAGCCCAGAGCCCGACTCGGGGTTCGAACTCACAGACTGTGAGATCATGACCTGAGCCGAAGCTGGACACTCGACCGACTGAGCCACCCAGGCGCCCCTTTTGTTTCTAATTTAACTGTGAGTTTGCCTGATTTTATCTTCATCAGCAGCTCCGTTTAAGCCTCAGCTCACAAAATTCCCGAGCAGTTTAGCACCCCCCTCTGGCAAGCCACCGACACAATTACAGAAAACGTGACGGGGTTAGCCGACAGGACAAAGAAATGAGGGACGGGGTCATCAAGAGAGGTCTGTGGAGCCAATCCCACTTCGTGTTGTGCGAACAAACCTCACAGGCAACAAAGGACCAAGAAAAGAGAGTGGCATCACGGTTTGTTTATGAGGGAAGGGTGACGGGGCGCCTGGGTGGCTCAGTCGGTTAAGCATCCGACTTTGGCTGGGATCATGATCTCACGGTTCGTGAGTTCGAGCCCCAAGGCGGGCTCTGTGCTGACCGCCCGGAGCCTGGAAACTGCTCTGAGTCTATGTCTCTCTCTCGTTCTCTTTCTGCCCCTCCCCTGCTCACACACTGTCTCTCTTTCAAAAATGACTAAACGTGGGGCGCCTGGGTGGCTCAGTCGGTTAAGCATCTGACTTTGGCTCAGGTCATGATCTCGCGGTCCGTGAGTTCGAGCCCCGCGTCGGGCTCTGTGCTGACAGCTCAGAGCCTGGAGCCTGCTTCTGATTCTGTGTCTCCCTCTCTCTCTGACCCTCCCCTGTTCATGCTCTGTCTCTCCCTGTCTCAAAAATAAATAAAATGTTAAAAAAAAATTTTTTTTTTAAATGACTAAACGTTAAAAAAATTTTTTTTCTAAATAGAGAAGGGTGACTTCACACCAGGAGATCCGCACCACTTACAGAAGAGTGAGATCTTCCTTCAAGATATTCATACCATACTGCCCAACACCTGACCGTCTAGAGCAACGGGCATTTTTTGTTTTGGTATGTTTCAGCCTCAGCAAACGGTGGGGACGGAGGAGGGGAGGTGTGCTCACGTTTTATAGAAGACCGGTTTGCGATGCTGAAGCCAGAGACGTTTCTCTTGTGGAACCACGGCAAGTGTAAGGCCATTTTCACCCCTTCTTGCATTTTGATGCGGGACACAGTGCCGTTGCTGCAGAAGGTTCCGATTCTCACCACGGTGGCATCGATGCGGCCGCTGATGTTGTAAGTGACTCCGTCTGGGCAGCTCGCCCCCGGCCCCACCTGCCTCAGGCGAGGGACCGAGAACTGCAGCTCTAGACCAATGCTCTTGTGAGCCTTGACGTCCCAGATGAAAGTTCTGTTGACGGCGGGCAGCACCGATGTTGACGGCTGAAGCTGGACCTCCCCGAAAGGACACGGGCCTGACATGCAGTCTGAAACACAGCCACAAGAGCAAGCTTGGTCACAGATGCTACCAGGCCACGCACTGTGCCTCTCGACCCCTGTAGGAGAAGCCGGGGGGCACCGCCAGGCAGAGGCGTGATCTCCTGGCTGCGTGAGTGTTGGTGGCCAACAGCTCACTCTTCTCTGGGGAGTCGCCTAGGCCGGGGGAGCCCCCTTTGGCCAGAAAGCCTGAGAGTTGTCCTGCACCTACCCCTGCCCCCCAAGGTGGGTAGCAGCCCACGGCCGATCGCTGCCCAAGGCTGGGGGGAACAAGCCTGACCTCCCTGTCTCATGTGACAGCCTGGGGATGCCCTCTGACACCAGCATCAGCCTGTGGTTCCACTAGCTAAAACCACACCTTTGCTTCCTTCTTCCCTTGGCTCTACCCTGCTTTTCTCACTGCTCTGTAAGTGTCCTCCAAGGGTACTCTCTCGACAAATGACTTAAAAAAAATCCCCATCTCGGGGTGCCTGGGTGGCTCAGTCGGTTAAGCTTCTGACTTCGGCTCAGGTCATGATCTCACGGTTCATGAGTTTGAGACCGGCATTGGGCTCTCGGCTGTCGGCACGGACAGAACACGCTTCGGATCCTCTGTCCCCTCGTCTTTCCCCCTCTCTTGCTCATTCTCCCTCTTTCTCAAAAATAAATAAACATCAAAAATAATTAAAAAAATTTTTTAACGTTTTATTTTTTGAGAGACAGAGCACGAGCAGGGGAGGGGCAGAGAGAGAGGGAGACACAAAATCTACAGCAGGCTCCAGGCTCTGAGCTGTCTGCACAGGGCCCGATGCAGGGCTCGAACCCACAAACTGCAAGATCATGACCTGAGCCGAAGTCAGAGGCTTAACGGACTGAGCCACCCAGGCGCCACCCCCCCCCCCCGCCTTTTTTTTTTAAAGGCTAGCAGCTGATGACATCCTCTGATGTACTTTTGTTTCCCAAGACTCTTAAAACAAAGCAAGAACGCTGTTCTCGAGGAGGAAGGAAGCATGTGGAAGAAGGGACAGAGAGCAGACACAGAATAGTAAGGCTTCCGTTGTCTCCCGTGCAGGGAATCTGAACGGTGCCTTGGCTTCTGGCCACTCTAAGGGGACCCTTCGAACCCTTACTGCTGCTCCAGTGGGGTGTCCAAAAGCACCGGCAATGTGAAGCGGGATCATGGGAGTCTTTTAGAGCTGTCTGAGGACCCCCTGAGGTCATTCACGCCCAAACACTCATTTTTGCAAAGCAGTCCTGGAACCTCGGTGACAAGTGTGTTTGCAACGCACAGCCCCCCAGGAGGAAAGCCCGGGCTGTGGCTGGTCCGCCCGAGTTCATGCCAGCACAGTGTGCTGCCTGACCTACGAAACAGGGTTAGATAACAAGGTGACGGAGTTGGCTAAAATTAGATTTTGTGTGTGGGTAAGGATAGTCCCTGTTTTTAGGAGCTCAGGGAAACTCCACTCCGTGAAGCCGTTTCTTTCTGGGCTTTGCAGCCACGCCTCCAGTGTGCCCAGGGCCCCATGGAGTGGCTCCTGCTGGGCTCCTGTGGGATCCCTTCACCCTATTTAGACAGTGGTTTTCTTTTTTAGGCTCTGGAGCATTTTGATATGAGGGTTGGAAGAGCTTTATTCCATGAGTCGGGAAATGCCACCTCTTTCTGTGCTCTAGAACAGGGAGGGGGTCAGCAAATCACAGCTCGTGGGCTCAGTCCAGCCCAATACCTGCTACTGAGAAGAGACATGTGGGACGGCGCTGCCCATACGTTCAGCTGTTATCCGTGGCTGATTTCGTGCTGTCCCAGCGCGGAGCTCAGTGGTTGGGCGGAGACGCTCTGAGATATTTACCATCCCGTCTTTTACAGAAAAGGTTTGCCAACCCTCTCCTAGAATGTTCTTTTTTTTTTTTTTAATTTGAAGAGGACACGGAGAGAGAGAGAATCCCAAACAAAATCCAAAATCAAGAGTCGGGTGCTCAACTGACTGAGCCACCCAAGTGCCCCTAGAACGGTTTAAATATTATAGAAATGATCTTCTCCTCGATGTATTACAGGATCCTCTATGAAACCATCTCTAATAAACCCAAACCCCACTTTCCTCCATCTTGCACATTTTTTTCCAACCTCCTCCTCGGTTATTTATTGATTTGGGTTTCCTACCTTTCTATGAGTCAATCTGGCTCACTGAATTTTCCCTGAAAATTATTCCTTTTATTCAGATTTTCACATTTCTACCATAATGCTGTACACAGTCTATTTTAGAAATCGCCTCTGTAAATGTCACGAAAGCAACATTTAGCCTTTCAAAGCTGTACATTTGTATTTTCTCTGTCTTTTTTCCAGCAGACTAGTCAGAGATCTGTCTATTTAATTAGTCTTTATAGAGAACCACACCTTAGCTTTAGTTACCAGATGGAGTTTCAAAAGCTGCTGGTAAGCACTTTAATTTCTTTTCTTTTTCTGAATGCCTTCTTCCTAAGATTTATTTTACCCCTTTCCTTGCTTATCTATTGCCTGATTCATTTATTTTCAATGAAAAGCAAAGAAATTAAAAAAAACTTAATGTTTATTTATTTTTGAGAGAGAGAGAGAGAGATGGAGCATGAGCAGGGGAGAGGCAGAGAGTGAGAGAGACATAGAATCTGAAGCAGGCTCCGGGCTCTGAGCTGTCAGCACAGAGTCCGATGCGGGGCTCGAACTCAGAAACCATGAGATCGTGACCTGAGCAGAAGTCGGACGCTCAACCCACTGAGCCACCCAGATGCTCCAGCAAAGACATTTTTTGAGTATGGCTTTGATTGGATCCCAAATAGTGCTCTCCTTGATGTTACGACATCTATGTTCCTAGCTGGCATGCCCACCTTAAAACGACTAGGAAATTACACATTTAATTCTTTCTGCCTGGTTATTATATCTTATGTTAATCTCTCATCCCAAGTTCAAGTTGTGAGTAATAGTAATAATGTCAGAGTCATCGTTTGTTGAATCCTTGTGTGTCAAACATCACCAGTGTATTAGTTTATTTCACCCTCATGAGAACCCTACTGGTTGGTACAATGACTCTTATTTCACAGACTAAAAAACTAAGTCACAAAGCAGTTAAGTGACTTATACAAAGCCATCTGATGAGCTCACATGACCAGGAGCCTGAAGCTTGAAGCCAGACCAGATCCCTCAGCCTCAAAAATTCTGTTTTTCCCCATCGTGCTTCGCGGACCCACCTCTCCACCCTTATCTGCTCAACCCTCCAATTCCTTTTCTTTTTTTAAAAAGATTTTATTTTTAAGTCATCTCTACATCCAACATGGGACTCAAACCCTGAGATCAAGAGTTGCACGTTCCACCCGACTAGGCCACCCAGGCGCCCCTCCAATTTCTTTGTCTTCCAACTCCTTGCTTTTTGCTCCTTGTTGGCAAAATTTTAGCCTACAATTAAATTAGTTTAAATTTGAGGGGCGCCTGGGTGGCTCAGCCGGTTGAGTGTCCGACTTCGGCTCAGGTCATGATCTCACGGTTCATGAGTTCAAGCCCCGTGTCAGGCTCTGTGCTGACAGCTCGGAGCCTGGAGCCTGCTTCGGATTCTGTATCTCCTCTCTCTGCCCCTTCCCAGCTCACACTCTGTCTCTCTCTGTCTCTCCAAAATGAATAAATGGTAAAAAAATTAAAAAATAATAAATTAGTTGAAATTTGAGTTAAATTAGCTTTAAGGTTTTCGTTTAAAAACTTTGAACCTCAGTTGAAAAACACTTTAGCACATCAGCTGGAGCATCCCAGACCTGAAGATCTGAAGTTCTATCAAGAAACAGTGTGGTGGGGTGCCTGCGGGGGTTGGGGGAGGCTCAGTCTGTTCGTTGTCTGACTCTTGATTTTGGCTCAGGTTACAATCTCATGGTTTGTGAGACTGAGACCCGCCTTGGGCTCTGCCCTGACCAAGGGGAGCCTGCTTGGAATTCTCTGTCTCCTCCCTCCCCCCGTCTGCCCCTCCCCCTCTTGCGCACTCGAGTGCATGCTCTAAATGAATGAATGAATGAATGAATGAATGAATAGAAACCATGCAGCACAGTGGTGGCAGGCAAATCCTGGGGCCAGAATACCTCAGTGCTTGTCCTGCTGCTTTAGTCGCGATGTCATTTTAGACAAGTTACTGTCTTGGTGAGTTTCTCACAAGGCTGTTTTGGAGATTCAAGACCTTAACCTGTGTAAAGCACTCAAAACCATACGTGGCCACATAACAGCTAAACAGAGTGTGGAGTTTCAGAACAGCTCTTACCTCCCTAGCATTAGAGACTGGCTCAGCACCGGAAAGAGAGGCAGGGAGGCCAAACAGGTCACGAGTGTGTACTTACCAATATTCTTCTGGATCTCGATGACAAAGTGCTTCTCTGGGTCCCGGCAGTTAAAGGAAAAGACCGCCTTTTCTCCGGATTTGATGGTCAATGTGGTTAAGTGTCCTTTAGTACTGATGATGTAACAGGGTTTCACCGGCAGCGTGGGGGTCCCAGGTTTTATGAGAACTGTAATGCCACTTCCGTGTGGCACAGCAATCTCGGAAGCTTCTGGAAGAAGGAAGAAAAATGGGAGTGAGCAGGAGGCTTTAGATCTCCAAACGTGCTGCTCTCCCCCTCCCCCCCGCTGGTCCAGGGAGCCCCCCACTTTGACACCTTTGTTCCCTCCCTCCTGGTCTGAGAAGGAGAGTGATGTAAAATAAAATGTCAGTGCTGTCCTTACCGATGGGAAAGTGCCAGGCTATGGCCGATGGGGTGCTGACAAGTATCTCTTGTTTGCTTTATTGAAAAAAACCTTTTTTTAAGTTTATTGATTTTTGAGAGACAGAGCATGAGTGGGGGAGGGACAGAGAGAGAGGGAGACACGGAATCCGAAGCAGGCTCCAGGCTCCGAGCTGTCAGCGCAGAGCCCAATGCGGGGTCTGAACTCACGAACTGTGAGATCATGACCTGAGCCGAAGTCGGATGCTTAACCGACTGAGCCACCCAGGTACCCCTCTTGTTTGCTTTATTAATGTTTCTAAAAATTAAAAACACTGCACCACATCCTAGATGCCTTGAGCAGTATATATTCATGTACCCCATCTATGCAGCATAAACAGCAATCAGAGACACTGTCACACCTCTTCTCAATATGACCAGAGACGAAAGTCCACGTACAGTCTATGTACACAGGGACATATTTGTTTGCAACGAGCCGCTGTCTCCTGCCCTGAGCGCTTCACATGCCCAGGATATGCCTATATTTAGTAGTGGAGGCTAGGAAAATGTTTGCAGAAATTAGATACAAACATGTTGTGTCAACCAACTTTGAAAGAGCTGAAGAGCGCTAATACCGTAGACTGGGGTTCTGCAAAATGATCTGAATGGACAACACCAAGCCGGCGAGACGGCGGTTGATCATTGAACAGAGGGGTACGTACCGGTCAGGACGGGGCCCTGATTCATGAACAAGTGCCATCTCGGCCCCTTCTGTGACTTGGATCCTGATTTGGGGTCACTGAGTAGCTGACGGCCTGGGGGCAGTGGATGATGGGGCAGTCATGTGTAGGGGAGTCCCGTGGAGGGAACCCAGGGGCTCGTGGAGAGACGTGCGGGGCTGATGTGGGTGTTCTGTTCCACCACGTTCTGGCACAAAGGACGGTTAGTACCTGTTATGGCACTTGCCCATGGAAGGTGCCCAGTAAGTCTTCAGCCAATGAATCAATAGCAATCTAACCAGCTATGCTTTTCCCACCCTTTTAAAAAATTTATTTTGGGGCACCTGGGTGGCTCAGTCATTTACGCATCTGACTTCAGCTCAGGTCATGATCTCACGGTCCATGAGTTCGAGCCCTGTGTCAGGCTCTGTGCTGACAGCTCAGAGCCTGGAGCCTGTTTCGGATTCTGTGTCTCCCTCTCTCTCTGCCCCTCCCCTGCTCTCACTCTGTCTCTCTCTGTCTCTCAAACGTGAATAAATGTTAAAAAAAAACTTTTTAAAAGCAAATTAAGGGGCGCCTGGGTGGCTCAGTTGGTTAAGCGTCTGACTCTTGTTTTCAGTTCAGGTCATGACCTCATGGTTCATGGGTTCAAGCCCCCACCTAGGGCTTGGTGCTGAACGTGAAGCCTGCTTGGGATTCTCTCTCTCCCCCTCTCTCTGCCCCTCCCCTGCTCACGTGAGCACGTGCTGTGTCTCTCTCGGGCACTCTCTCTCTCAAAATAAAAAATAAATAAAATCAACTTTATTGAGCTGTAGTTTACGTACATTAAAAAGGACCCACTCATTTTAAGAGTTTTGACAGATGTATATACACATGACCACTATCACAATCAAGATCTAAAAAATTTTCGTGGTCCCTAAACGTTCCTTTAATGTCCCTTTGCAGTCAACTTCGGCTTCTGGTCCCAGAAAACTTATCGGTTGGTTTTGCCCGATCCAGACCTTCATATAAACAGAATCCTACAGTATATTCTCTTTGGTACCTGGTTTCTTTGCTTAGCACGTTTGTGAGATCAATCCACTGTTCCCTCAGGGATTAGTACTTTGTTTCTTTTTATTCCTAAGTAGTGTTGTATTATCTGTATAGACCATGGTGTATTTATTTCCATGCACCTGTTGGGTGACAAGTGAGTTCCTTCTAGTTTTTTGACCAGCCCCTTGCTTCATTTGGATCAAAACTGCTAGCCTGCATGAGGGCTACATGCACTTTCCTCCCATGGGAAGGTATGAACCCACTTGCATTCCCCAGGACAGCAGCTACGTGATAAAATGTTGGGACTTCCGTCAGCCTCTTCTTGAACCTCTCTCCCCCTTGTTCGCTCTGCTCTGGCCTGACCAGCCAGCCGCTCTTGACGTAGTGTGGAAGTTGATCCCTCGGTCTGTGATAGTGAACTGCAAATATCTTGTCCATTTTTATCGGTAAGAACTTTACCCTCTTTGGGCCTCCGTTCCTCCATTTATAAAAGGAGGGGGCTAGGCCAGAAAAAATCAACCATTTCCTGCCAGCTCCCAGTCTGTGATCAGTACCTGAGAAAGAAGTGACCTTGCAACTGTACGCATTCCCAGCTACTGCCCGGCAGCGACACATGCCTCAGGGCGCCAGGACACCAGCTCAGGTGCCTTCCTGACTTTGCTTTCAAGACGGCCTCGGTTTGCATTTTTGGAGCAAAATGTCTTAATCTCTCCAACTTCAGCTTGTACCCCTCTCTGCTTTGGTCACCGTGCTCAGTGACCACCTTTGCCTTCTTTCTTGACCACACGAACCTCTTTCCCATCCCCAGGGCCTTTGCGCGTGCTGGTCCTGGTTTCTATGAAGCTATTTCTCTAGCAAGAGCTGGGTCCTTTTGGTCCTTCCAGTCTCAGCTCAAAGGTCATGTCTTCAGAGTGACCTTCCCTGACCAGCCTCCTCCAGTGCTCCCCTCCTCCCCCCCCCAGTCTTCCTGCTTTTATGTCCCTCCCTGCTCTAGTCTTTGAGAGTGTTTATTTGTTTTCGCCTCCTATGATCAGAACGGGAGCAACTTCCTACTGGAAGGCAGCAGGAATTTCCCTGTCCTTTTCGGTGGTGGCCTCGGGATCCAGACAGTGCCTGCTGTCCCCATGGAGGCTGAAGTGACGTTTAAAATCTTCAGGGACGGATCTGAAGGCTCGGGGGCTCTCTAAGACATCAGGTTAAAATGAATCCAGGGGCACGTGGGAGGCTCAGTCGGTTAAGCGGCTGCCTTCGGCTCAGGTCATGATCTCGCGGTTCGTGAGTTTGAGCCCTGCATCAGGCTCTCTGCTGTGTGTGCAGAGCCCTCTTCAGATCCTCTGTCTCCCTCTATCTCTGCCCCTCCCCCGCTTGTGT